TTATCTGTAATTGACACACATCTTCAGGATAACAGCATTTTGCACAGTGCACTGAATTTTGCTTTCATATTCATCTTTTTCAGTCGACTTTGTTTTGAAGAATCCTCAGCAACAAGAACAGAGCTCGGCAACACAGAGAGTTTCTGATTCAGAGTGAGTTTCTGATTAGCACATGTGCACAAGCACATTATTCCTCTTTAATGCCCATTAAAAAATGTTTTGAACCTTTGCAGACTTTTACATTTCTCAAAACCATGGCATGATAGCKTTGTAAAAAGTCGCGAGATGATAAAGGCACATTTGCARATTTTGCAWCCCGTGATGCAAACTTTATTGGATCTCGGCTTCTCGGAATTTTCTGAGCTGGTCCTTGTTGATCCGTCGACATTCAGGTAAGACAAAAAGAAACAGGCGCAGCACATAGCTGGCTCTTCTTCTTGATTTGCTTCCTTTTGTTAAACTCATTTGTACTTCTGCTGACAAAGAGCTTTAGGACCAATGGAGTATAAAAGCCTAAAGAACAAAGCAGACAAGGTGAGAAAGGAGAAAGAAGTTTGCATTCTGAATACCTGGTATCCCAAAATCATCCACTTGTTATCAAGTGAAAAAACACAAAAGAAGGTTAAACCTGAGAAAATGGATGCCTTTTATAACTGTGCATCAACCCTCATTTCCAATCAGGTAATATGATAACCACCTCATGAAAGTACTTTTATATGAGCATTTACATGCATTTACACACACTATATCAAATAGTTAATTTATGAGTTATTAAGCATGAATAAACAAGTATGTTGATTTTTGGAAGTAGTTAGTGTTTATGGGTACAACATCAATAAATGTTCATAGCTTATTTTGTATGAATCATCCGTAATTGGTGATTTTTCCAAGGTTAACTAACCATTTATTAATGATCAAGTAAAGCTAAATAGGGTGTAATCATAAAGTGTTACTTTTTTCATGTTAAGTCAATTGTGAAAATATAAACTACGTGATGATAATTTCCTTCTTTACATTTCTAGTTAAAATCGATGCTTCAGGCAAACGTAGAAAATTTTGTCAGGGTATTTGATCCAAACAATCAGCACTGCTTGCCGGTTTTCCGTATGGCATTGACATTTGATGATGAAAAGATGGAGATTTTTCCCACCGTACAAGATTTGGAAGACTCTGTTTTGGAGATCCTTAATGCCATAGCTAATACACTGCAGAAAGTACAAATTCTGCCGTCTGGGATGATGGAACATACCTCATCTTCATTTGTGGATGCCAGTGTGCCTGATGAGGTTCTTACTTGGGCTCAGGCTACACTGAAGAATGCTGTGCGCAAAAACTTAGAGGAACCTGACCAACATTTAAAGACCTATGTGAACAAATATGACTGGCTTGTGAATGGGAAAGCACAGAGTAAGGTAGACACATTTCTGGAGGAGGAACACTCTTTTGATGAATACAAGAAGGTAAATTCAGTTCGTATGTGACGTACAACTGATTATGATGTGAAATGTTTAACCCGATGATTGTCACAATATGTCTTTATACTTGTTAAAGCAAGTGGAGGAGTTCCATATGTTATCAAAGGAGATTAGCAGCCTCCCATCAAAACGCTACTTCCCAATGGTCCTGCTGGAMAGTGAGGAGCTGAAACAAGGCATAGCTAACAAAGCTAAAATGTATGCTGACGTGCTTCTGAAGAAACTCGTCACTACACATCGAGAGCAAAATAAACTGATATGTTCTGAATTTGAAGTCATCCAAAAGAAAGCTCTGGAAGTTCCAGAAAATACAGAAAACATTGCTCAGATAGAAGAATACATCAAATTTACCAGAACAACGGGTATTGCAGAACTAAATGAAAAAATAAAGGTGATTAGCCAGATGAGTGTATCTATTTATTAAGTTTTAGATAAAAGCAAAATGTTTTTGACGTCACTTTTAAACCACAATATGCTCTAAAAGGAAGCCCTCTCCAGACTYCTCTACCTTTTGGACAACTACTTCTTTGACCCAGAAGATTTGGAGCTGAATTCAACGGTCTTTCTCTGGCCCAAAAACATTTTGCATGCCTTTGAGCAAAATAATGAGGTGTTACAAATGGCTAAGGAGAGAGAAAAGAAAAAGCTGATTGACAAAAGGGAAAAATTAATGGCAGAACTGGGAGAGTTGGGACACAGGGTAGAGCAGTTCCTACAATACAGAGAGTTGGTTTTAATGCAGCAGGTACAGCTGTTACTACTATCAGGGAATATGTGTGTGTATTTGTTTTACAATGGAAGGTGTAGGATCTACACTACATGCGTTCTCTAACTTATAAGTTATGCTAAGCTAAGTGGCTGCTTCTGACTACTTATTGATTTGTGTTTTTTATCCTTGTTCTAAGCTCTTTGCAAGAAGACTAAGTAAATCATGTTTAACATTCTCCAACAATGCAGATGGAAGGTTGTGTTTTTCTTGGGCATTTCAATTTCATTTTTAATCTAACATTTATGTTATCACTATTTGCTTATTGAACAGTATGTGGAAGATGTAAGAAAAGTGCAGAAACTTCTCCAGATGGCCGAGGAGGCTATTGTCCAGATTAATAAGGAAGAGGCCTTTTACAAATGGGATATTACATGTTATCCAGAAGTTGAAGTCCTCAAAGAGGRTATTGAACCATATCAGAAGCTGTTTGGATTTATCCTTAAGTGGCAGCACACAGAAAACAGATGGATGGATGGCTCTTTCGTGGAACTAGATGGGGAAAGCATGGAGGTCCAAGTGGAAGAGTTCTACAGGGAGATCTTCAAGATGCTGACGTTTTTCCAGCAGAAGCAGATTAAGGCTGCGCAAGAGCTGGAGAAGATMTCTGGGAAGGCAAGAGGAAGTTCCAGTAGAGAAGAAGATGCAGAAAAACAGGACAGTCCAACACCGATTGTGTCAGAGCAGATTAAGTCTTCAGAACAGAGAGAAGATATCTCTGGGAAGAAAAGACAAAGTCCTGGTGAAGAAGATCCCAAAAAGAAGGAGAGTCCAACAATAGTTATGTGCTCTACTGTAATGAACCAGATCAAAACATTCAAGGACTACATCCCCGTGGTGTCCATCTTATGCAACCCTTGTATTCGAACTCATCATTGGCACCTCATGTCAGAGATAGTYGGGTATGACCTCACTCCTAACTCTGGGACAACACTCAGGAAAGTTCTCAACAAAAACCTGGCCCCTTACCTGAATGAGATTCAATCTATTGGTGTTGCTGCCAGTAAGGTGAGGATTTCTTAAACACCGTTTTATTGTTGTACGACTAACTCTTTGTATTCAGTGCAGTTTGTCCTCATTACATTTCTTTGCAGGAATTTTCTCTGGAAAAGACTGCGCAGATGTAGTGATTATGTGACTACAACTTCTCAAAACTAAAGTTATGAGGAAACCACAAGTTCTTTCTGCGGGAAGATTAAACCCTTCTCTGTGTAATTATGAGGACAACACACAATAATTTACCATATTCTGTAACTTAAGTTTTTCTAAAATAAATGATATTTACTTTCAGAATAAAACAAATTACTTATGTACAACTTATTGTGAATAATCAAAATTTTTGGTGAGTTAAACATTAACAAAATACGCATGCGTCCGCACAAATTAATGTCAACATTACACTCTAAGTAACAGCATTTTAAATAAACCAGATGTTTGCAGGCACATGAAACATATACGGCAAGGTTTTGCTTAAGAAAAGGAAGAGATTAGTTCTAAGATTTAACTTATGTGTGTGAAAAACCAGAACGTGCACTCTGGGTCTTTGCCAGTGCCTCAGCCCACCTCCGGTACACTTTGTTCAAACAAATTAAAATTTTACCTGTTGGCGTTTCGACCGTAAGGTTAAGCGTGCAGGAAGACTTCACCCAGGTAAGTCAGAGAGCCAGGACAGGTCTCTTACTTCAGTAAAACTTCTACGTTTTGCTTTACTGTGTCTCCGGATGTCTGCTTCAGTTCGAAGGAAAGAGCCAGATACGTTTGGGTTTTTCATTCAAAATAAAATAAATTATTTCTCATCAGAAGTCTTAAAATAATGGAGATTCAAGGAGATGGGCAAAATGATGCCCGCTCATCTCTTTTCTTTTTCTTTCAGGGAGACGGGAAGACTGTGTCTCTTCTCTCTTTTCTTTTCTCACTCTGTCGAGGCTTCATCGGTGTTAGTTTTCTAAAGAGAAGAAGCTCAGGGCAACAACCTCGACTTGTGTTAGTTAGGAGGACTGAAAATGTTTTCAGACTAGAGTACACTACCATAGCGGAATAACAACTATGCACCTGCAGAAAAACAGTTTAGAACCTTGAGAGACTTAACACTAATATAT